CACCCGGCTGTAACAGGAAGTGATGGCAGAACTGCAGAGGTGAAAGAAGCAGAAATCATATGGGAGAACAGGCAGAGAGACTTGCATTATGGTATCCACTGCTGGGAATCGGCAATGCACTGCTCTGGAATTTTTTTATATTTAGAACTCCTCCGCATTTAAACAGGTGTCAACTTTCTGAATTTATACATTGGTATGTAGCAACAGCAGAGGGCAGCGCTTGGCTGGTCTCAGGGAGTTAAGGAGGGTCGGTCCCTGGATGGGAGACAATCAGGAAATCCTGGGTTAGACTAGGAAGTTGAAAAAATATCTCCGAAGAAGGCAACAGTAAGCTACTTCCATACTGCTGCCAGAAAACCATATGGATGCTTCCATGAAGAGATGACACCATCCACCCAACCGTGGCTGAACTCCAACAGCTAAGCAGGGTTGGGCCTGTTAGTCCTTGGGTGGGCATCTACTAGGAAACCCAAGGGATAAAAGCTAGACTGGCAAGCTGAAGAAACATCTAGGGAGAAGACAAGGGCAAACCACTTATTATTGCCAAGAAAACATCATGTCCATGAAGTCACCTAGAGTTGAGCTTAATTCAAGGGAGACTTGACTGACTAGGTAAAGACTCCCTGGGGTGCTCCAGATGTTGTTGAATGACTATTCCCTGCATCTGGCCAGCCTGTCTAATGGGAAGAATCCAGAGCCGTAATCCAAGCCACACAGAGAGAGCCACAGGTTGCTTCCCCCAATAGATAAGCCTGCATGAGTAAAGACAGGCTGGAACTATGATCACCTTGGTTGCCCCACCAGAAGCAAGCCACATCAGTGCAAATCCTTCTTCTCAATGGAGAAGGACAAGACTTCTGTGATGTTAGAACTCTGGTGATGATTGATGGAGCTGTCTCTGATCTCAGAGCAGACCACAGCCATCAGAGATGGCTATCAGTGGACAACCTGGTGAGATGCCCAAAGGGCTTTCTCCCTTTTAAGGAAGGTGGCAATGGGCCAGCAGAAGCAGGATGGGAGAATCTAAGAATAATGACCCCAAAGAATGAGGGAATGGCCAGAAAACACCTGGTGATGTCATGATACATCAAGTGAATAAAATGGGACAAGTTCAGGCAAAATTCTAGATTAACATTCCCCCCACAAACCTCAGCAAGATTAACAATAGTTTTACAAGTTCTGTAAACGTGGCTGCAACTTGGTGTAAAGTATGGTATGAACACAACCCGTGGAAATTCAACTAGACTTGCTGGTGCAAATATATGATGTGGTTTAAGGAAACTGCTTAGCAACGTAAGACACTGAAGATGACCTAAAGCATCCAGAGGGGAAGAATTAGGTAGAAATGATCACCCCAATCTCTGTTGCAGATTCTGGGGAAAGTGACAACCCAAACTCTCCAACCTTCTTAGTCAGGATGCCACATCATGACTCACCTCTGCTGAATCCGTGGGTCCGTCTGCACCAGGGGCAAAATGGCTTCCAGAACCTTACTTGCAGATCCGGGCAACATTTCCAACACCTTGTTATCGATTGCCATTTTGTCCACGATGGTCTTAAAGTAGCGTAGGGCGCTCACTACATCCTTCTCCTTCTCTTCCAGCCTTGTCAAGTTCTGAGAGACAGAAAGAGCATTTTTACAAAGGTTCCTATTTAATAGAGCGAATAGTAAAGACATGCAAACCGATTTGAAGTCAACCCATTCTGAACCCACAAAAGGCAGTTTCCATCATGTTTTGAGATGTCTGAAACCTGGCAGTTTTGAGCTCACAGTTCCCAAATGGTCAAAACAGACCGTTTCAAATGTAAAACCATACCCAGAAACAGTTTTGCACTGAACACAGGCCATTTCAAAATAGGTGATTCAAATGTTTAATGATTTGAATACGGTTAGTGTATATTTTTACAGAAAGCAATACCAAACTCAGTTTCCCAGTAGATCAGCAGCTTGCAATGATCTCAACTATCCTTTACAACCCATGCTGTTTTTTAGGTGAAGAAAAGAGATCACAATACTGTATTATTATGCAAATAATAGGCCAAAAATAAATTGTACAAAAGTGGTCCCCTTTGTTCCATCAGCACCAACCTGGTTGGGAAGGGAGTACTAGTTGTATTGTTCGAATACACCCCCCAGTCCAGGAAAGATGGATAGAGGAAATTGCAAAGAATGATTTGATTTCTGGCCTCATGTTCAACAGAGACGCAGGTGCCAAGAAATGTTGACAAAACAGTCTTCCCTTCTGTCAGCCTTACAAGGTAAACTCGACAGGAAACATGACTAGATGAGCTAATTCTACTTTATTGTAAGGTGACATTAACAGAATCCTGCAAGACTGAAAGTACATCTCTCCCCCCGTCTCCTTTACAGCCTGATAAACTAGGGAGGGTCCCTTCTGAGCCTTTCTCCACCCATTATGCAGCTGAGGGCTATGCTTCCTCTTATCTGACTGTTCCCTTGGCAGGGTCTCTTGGTCCAGACTCCCAAGGTCATTTCCACATACCATTACACCTTCTATAGCCCACAAAACCACCCAGGGCAGCTGCCTCGGTATGAAATCTGAAAACTTCCTCCTTGCAAATTATCATGAAAAAGGAAATGAGTGCTCTCCAGGGCCCGTTTGGAGGAACCTGGACTTGTGTGAGCAACGCAGAGGAATGCTGTTATGTTGTGCATCTGCCCTGCTGATACACATTCCTTCTGCACTCAGCCAGCCCCCATGCTTGGTGAGGGTTTGCACTTTACATCAAATGATAACAACAGATGTTTGGTGGGTCCTCTTGATCGGTGTATGCGAGTCATGGAATGGGCCTGGGGGCACCAGGGGCATTTAATGCCTAGAAAACATGCACAGTAGATTGTGCAAGGTCTGGTATGTTGCTGTATCGATTTGTTTCACTCCGTCACGGTTCTCTTAAATTTGCTGGTCACTGACAGAATAAAGAGGTGTGTCGGTGTGCCACCAACGCCTTTAATAGCAGGACGCTCCTTTCAGAGGTCTGCACCAGGTGAGTATATAGACTGAGGCTGTTCTCGTGTTTTCTGCATCGCTCCAGTTGGACTTACGAAACTGGAGAAAAAGCCATCACTGAGCTGCGTCCGCTGCACTGAGTTTCCAGGAACGCCGTTTTCCTCCGGCAATCCTCTGAAGCAGATCGTGCGTGAGAAATGGCCAACGCACAGAGGTCACTGTCAAATGTGAACAAGTGTCACATTTTGGGCCCAGCAGGGGAAAGCACCGGGGAACCAGATCTTCTAAAGAAGACAAGCTTAGCATGCCTGTCAATGTGTCGTAGCTTTGACCAAATGCCCAAATGCATAATTGTGCATTTCAACACTAGCTTTGAGGATTCCCATTTCCACCTTAGGTGGCACCAAGGTTGATCAGGCCAGGGTTCTGAAAATAAATGCAAGGAAGTCGTTGATACAACCTGCTTGCGTGTTTAAGCTAGTTTGAAGCTTTTGTCCTGGGCTAACCATGCAACACCCGGCCTGTTGTTAATCATCCCCTCCCACTGATTCAAGGGACAAATCAGGTTGTTAAAAGGGATTAGGGTTCCAACTCCTCAGAGATGGATCTTGCAAAAACCAGCCTGCGGAAATGCTTGCTTGGTAAATAAAATCACTCCATCTGGCAAATTGCCACCGTCGTTAGCAAGGCCCTTATAGGCTGTGTCCTCCAGAAAATGGGGAGGGCCAAGAAAAAGTGGGGGGGGTGAAGACTCAAAAAATCTGATTTCATCCAATTTATGTCTGAATTTAATTAAAATAAAATGCATTAAATACAGTTAATACAATGGCTCCCTTCCCTGCTTATACTCAATCATGGAATCACCTTGAAAATGGCAATTTGGCAGCAACTTTTTGGAATAGCTTCATTCAACAAAAAAGAAAACCAACACCAAAGCAGTTTTAAGTTCTCTTTGCTATCAAGTTTGTTTCAACGGGAAACCCCCCTTCCAAAGGGAATCCACTTATCGGTACAGCTGGACTAGCCAAGAGGAAACAGATTGTGGCCTTAATGACAAAAGTGAGGTCTGTCCCTTTAAGGACTTTCAGTCCTCATCTGGGTGGGGTATTGTGGGTGGAGCCATAGATGAGGAAGGCTATAAAAAGTTGGAAGTCTCCAAGATCCTGAAATCTAAGGTCCTCTTTGGATAACGGGCAGATGGCAACTCCAGAATTCCTCAGTCTATGTGGCCATTGATGAGTTGAAACCCAAAACTTATAGAGGGCATCCAGGCTGGGTGAGGATCTGCAGAAAACCATGGAGACATCCTCACGTAACTGTCACAATTATGAACTTGCATTCAACGTCTGATACAAAGACATGCACCATTCATGGGATGACATCAGGCATACTGTAGAGTGTCAGGAAGATGACCTTGATGGAAACACATAAGATCTGTTCCCTAGAACAAAGAGGCTGAAACATTTTTTTGAATCCAGAGCCACGAGATAACATTCAGAAGTGACTCAGACAGACACCTCCCCAATTCACTGGAATATAAGAAGGAGGTCCAGCACAGACGTGCAAGATTGTTATGATAGCCAAACTCAATCAAAGTAGTTTTAGCCTTCCTGTGGAATTGATTTCCTGGTCTGGTTTACCTAGTAGGGCTGACACACATTTCCTCATTTGGCTTGGACACCCATGTCTCACAATACTCAGAAGCTTTCATTCTGACCTTGATACTTACCTACCCTTCCAAGTACTCTTCAACCAACTCAGGAGTAGCGGTGATACAGTCTGCTTCCCCTGGCTTCTGCTTCCAAAGGCATGAGGCCCACCAGCTTACCTTGTTCACTACCTTCTCGGGCGATTTCACCACTAGATCAGGCTGTTTCCCTTTCTTAGATGGGGTCCTTTTTATTTTGGGCGAATGGAACTTGTCTTTTAACTTCATGGTGAAAGAAGAGAGATGGGAACGCTGAGAATCTAGGAAAAGAAGGACAGTAGAACACAGTAAATAAATGGGAACATAATTGTTCTTGTGTGTGAATTGTTTTAGAACCTTGTCGTACACCACCCAGAGTGACTTTTGTGATGAATAAGTCACTTCCTATTTGTGGAAAAATATACCTGAATTCCAAGTTTTCTGGGTTTTTTTATTTTATTTTATTTAAATAGCCAGACAAAGTGACAACAAGGATGATTGCGTTGGGCCAATTCTTTCTCCTTGCAGATGACAAGACCTTCGCACGACCTATCTTCCCAATTCTCCCTGCTGCTCTGAGGCCCAGATTCTTGGCCAACTGAAAAGGACAAGCCAACTTACTCAGAAAAAGGCAGAGAACAAACCATGACCTTGTGTGGTCAGAGGCACCAGATGACAAAGGAGCAGGGGGAAAACTTGAGCAAAATTCCAGCAGATGTTGCTGAGTCACACTCAAAGTGGCCACCGCACACCCAGAAACACACCAACTGCACACTCTGGCACTTGTGTTTCATCCCAGGCTTGGTGACACAACAGAGTGACCATTCATACCTGCAGACTATTCTCACCACCCTAGAAAACTCCTCCACCTTTGTGGGGGGAAAGGAAGCTGTATTTTCATGGCAAAGTCTGCAATCTGTCTGCCACCTGAATAGCAATCTCTATCTGCTTTTCTCATGTATTTACCATTTATTTAGAAAGAAAAGGCCAGCTCTCCCCTCTGGGAAAAGCCCAAATTTAAAGGCCCTTAATCTTCTTAACCTGAAATTTAAGATCAACCAGGTGTAACCCACCAGAATTATTCCTATTGGGTTTTATGGACAAGGAATTAGAAAAAAAATACGGGAAATTCATATGGTATATGGCAACTGTGGCAAGATTATTGGATGCAAAAAGTTGGAAGAGCAATGAAATACCTACAGTCCAGTGGAAGACTGGATTATAACATTAACCGAACCTGCGGAAATGGCAAAGCTGACCCGTTTGGCCAGAGAAAAAACAATAAAGACTTTTTTAAATGACTGGAAACCTTATATAGACTTTTTGCTGAAAGGAGGAAAAACTGGATTGATGATCTGGGGATTAAAAAGGGACAAAGAGGTTGGGGAAAAGATTTAGATAATAATTCCTGGATAGAAAGAAGGGTAGAAGGCATAAAAGTATGGGTTTTTTCCCCCTTATTTCTTTCTTTTCTATGTACTTCCTACTTTCTATCTTTGCTTCTGTTTGTTTTATGTACATCGAAAATAGGTTAATTTTCACTGAATTAACATTGAAAAATTACATTGAAACGACATTGAAAAATTTGAAAAAAATGGAAAAAATGGAAAAACTACATTGAAAAATGTTAATAAAAAAAAATCAATCCGCTATAACCCTGTACTGATTTTTTTCCCCTCCATCCCTATCCGCAGGATTTTTCTTGTAGTCGTTCCCAACTTGGTGAAATGTTTTTTTCTTAGGAAGCTCAGAAGTTCTTTTGTCTCCTTGGATGGAGGAATGTAGAGATAGCCTTGATGAAAGTGTACAGAAGGCACTTAATGTAAGATTTGATGGTGGTCACCCTCTCCAACTTCTATGCCAATTAGGACTCCAATGGCAACTTGCGTGGTGGTTTTCTATGGCTTCTATTGACCATTTTTGTAGCCCACCTGAACCTGAAAATTTAGGGTCGGGTTCAACAGTGAACACACAAAATCACAATGTAAGATTCTTCAGCCCCCTGCAAGATGGACTCTACTGAACAATCAACTTGGATTAAAACTATGGTGAAATAAGTCTCTTGTTGTTAAAAAAAAAATCAAAATCCTGACCAATAGGATCAGAAGCATTTCCCCTCCCCACTTTTTTCCTTCCTCTTTTCTTTTTTCGTGTTTACCCTCCGGTTTCTGTAGTTCCCTTTCTACAGTTTGGGGATGATGCTTTCAAGGCGACGAAATTCGGTTTGCAAATGTTACAAGCTGCCTTGCCTTCCTTATCCTGAGGATGGATTTAAAACTTCAACATTTTGAAAAAAAATGATACAGTGGTGTTTATGCAGTGTGGGTCTGCCTTTTTTTTATCACAACTTTATTAAATTTCAAAAAGCAGAAGGATAAAAACGAACACAAACCAATAATCAGGAAAGAGAATAGAAAGAAAGAGCTAGAGATGAAGAAAAAAAGCAAAAGGGATGGAAAGGAGAAAAGGAGAAGAAGAAAGATAGCGTGGCTCTGCCTTTGATATCACCCCAAAGCCCCTTCGATTCCCCAAAATGGGACAGCTTGATTCCCTGGTTCAGGTCTCTTCTTAAGATAACTAGAAAGGCCATTTCAGTCTCCTTGATCTTAAAAAGCTCCCCAAAACTTATTATCTGCCACCTTTCTGAGTGAGGGATGAGTGAAGTCATTATGCAGAAGCTCAATTTTAACTTGCTCTCTCTCTTCTAAACTGGACAAGGGGATGGGCTGTGCTAAGCCTGGTTCAAAAGCTGGCCAGAAAAGGAGAACCACGCAGGCCAGACTGGAAGTCGAGAAAGAAGGAAGGAAAGAAGGAAGGAAGGAGGAGAGAAAAGGAGGCACCAAGCGGGATCTGGTTTGGCAGATAATTTTCACCTGGAGGCTACGGCTTCGGCTCTTCTCGTTTCCAAAAATAAGTTTCAAACACAGAGGCGTGCTTGGGGTCCACACGGATGGAAACCTTGCTCATTGCGTCTGTTTGGCTAAAGGGTGCATGCCTTGCCTGGCTGCGTTTGAACAAGCTCCAACGGCTGAGTCACGGCCTTCCCCGGCTTTAAAGTTTGCTTTGCCGCAACCCAGCACGCGCTTGACTTCTGACTACGGGGGGCGGGGGGGAGTATCAGCTGGCGACTTCCAGACAAGAGCATTGGGGGCGGGGGAGGAGAAGGAAGTCAAAGCAATTCCTCTCTAACCTCCTCAATCCATCATTCCTGGCTAACAGTTTGACATATGGTTGGGTACAAACCTTCGCAGCCCTTCCAGTAAGCGACGCCAGAACATTACGCCTATTGGAGGAAGGTTGGAGTGCGGGGAAGTCACAGGATGGATTTAACAGTACAAGAGAAAGAGAGGGAGGGAGGGAGGAAAAGGAGAAAAGGAAAGAGAAGGAAGGAAGGGAAGAGAGAGATCAGGGAGGGAGGGAGGGAGGGAGGGAGGGAGGGAG